ACATTACATAGAAGAACAGAACCTTCTCCACAAATTCACAATGTATTTGGTGACAACAAAATCAAACTTATCTATAAATTGAACAGCTTCCCTTAGTCCACATCCCAGATAGCAATCTTATGATAACCGAAATACTTACACAAACATTGGTATACAGCTGGTAAACCCTAGAAATAGAAAGATATACACAACATAGTTTAATACAGTTAAATAAGAATATTTGTGTTATGATTGAATGCACTCACAGAAATAAGGTATAAATTGCCCACCAAGGGTGCCTCCTCTGATGGAGATCGGGGGCTGTTGTTTCCTTCCTGCATCTGTGTACACCACTGAAAACCAGGACTCCGGATAGACATTATTAAAAGCAGCTTTTTATTGTAGCAAATAAAGCCAAATTAAAAATGTGCATAAACTAGAACAAAGACAATAACTAGGTATATGTGTCATTAGAAGGAATTGGAAGGAAAATAAAATGGATAGATAAATTTAATTATTTTCTAGTTTTTTTCCCCACCATTTCCTACCAATGTCACATATTGACAAGATGATTTAATAAATTCCTATATATATAGTAGCAAAAGATCCAGTAAACTTTAATTTTTATATCAGTAAATATCTAGGAAATGTCAACAAAATTAGTTTGGTTCATATGCATGTATACAATAAAATGTATGCATTTCTATTTTCTCTCTGTTTATCATGATCCTACAGCAAAAGATTAGGACAAAAATAATCACATCCTAGGAATTAAGTAAATAGGAGTTTTCACTCAGTGCTAGTCATGAGAATCACACATCTACAGGAGGAAGAAAAACAACTCATTATATGGCTGCAAGTTCCCTAAAAATGATAATAAAAAAATCCTACATTATGCTGTGTTATTTTTGTGGATTTTCATTTTGGCAGATGAAAACACACCGTGATGATTTTAGTTGGAGAACAAGTGAAATCCACATGGTTAGAGGTGAGGTGCATCGCTTAATCCCATGGATTAATTAGAAACATGGATCACCACTGCTGTCAAGTTTGAATTTGCACATACTCATTCTTACTGTGACACTAAAATTCTCTAGAGATTCCCAGACATGCAAATGAATGAAAGCTGCAGGTCCACTTTTTACATTATGCTTAAACATTAATTTGTAATATTCTTCTCTGTGGAAAAAGAATTATAAAGGACCCTGAATGATGTGAAAATAGTATCACGTTTACATTTTTCTCTAGCTCTTTACTTATTCAAATGATAGGGCCTATAGCTTTTGTTTGCTGTAACTAACATTTCTGTATATTGCATTAACATACAATTTGTTTCTAGACTCATGTCTTTACATTCTGTGCAATACCCTAAATCACATTTTTCTATTCAAGAAGGTTCCTAGGGTTTATTTTATTCATAATAGGACTAAGCTACCCTCTCCATCACAGCACAGCAAATAAATATGTATCTTTGGAATGTTCTGTTAGTCCAATGATTTAGATGCAAAATAAATGAGTATTGTAGTAAGTAAAAATGATTTTTTTTTATAAGACCACTATTTCATTTTATAATCCTTCTTTACAAATAATGTAATGTACACTCTTAAAAGTCCTGTGTAAAGGCAATGTGTAGTGTTGGTATGCAGAAAACCATAGTTTATATCTTTCTTATTTATTTTTTGCTTACTGTTTGCTGTTGCTGTGATTATTTGAAAGTTTAGACTTTTGTTGTTGATATCATTTCTCCTTTGTTCTTTCTTTTTTAATGAGCTATTTTATAATCTTGCATTGCAAATTGTACTGTGTTCTGATTCTCATTCACATTAGTGTGTTTGATGTATGGCACAATTACCCTTGATTCTGCAATGCATTAAGTATCCATAATCCATTTTTAAATGATCTGACACTCATAGACTTCACCTGATAAACGCAACATTACATAATAATATGATTAATTTTATAAAGGCCATGTGCAGCATGTGGGATTTCAATAGCTAGCTCAGAAAGAGAGTTACAGGTTTGATAATATCACTTCTGTGCAAAATGAATGTCTGTTGTCAGCACACACAGCATGCTGGTGACAGACATCCAATGGCAGCATGGCACTCCCTCTCTGTGCTGCCCATACAGCAGCTAGTAGGAGTGACCTCAGTGGAAGAGGATCTGGCTGGGGGGAGAACTTGGCCACAGCGATGAAACAGAGGCAAGTTTATGTTTTTCTTTCTTCTACTTTTCAAGTTTGAAAGGAGACCAGTACAGGAAGCGTTATTCTTACCAAAATCTGGGTTTTCTTAAACTCCTTTAACTCTTTCATAGCAGATTATATCAGGATTGTCACAATAACAAGAAATTTGCCCTTACCCTTCTACTAAAAGTGATACAATTTAACAACAGAGCAACTACTATCAGGGTTATTCACTAAAGTTAAAATTATTGGGCGTTCAAAGGGTTTAGTTATTTATGTGAAAGTAGTGAGTGGAAGCAATGTAGAGTGAAATGAAAAAAACAGTTGAGTGGACTA